AACTTAACTTAATTTAGACTCTTAACTTTTTATCTTTATTTAGTTACATTTTATCTATTAATTTTTTATTTAATATTTTTGAAGTTAAGTCTCAGACATAATACGCGGTAATAGAGATAACTTAAAATGAAGTAAAAATAGCAAAAGTGAGCAAATTTATTAGGTGTTGACCAATGAAATTATAAATATTCTAGTGAATTTGTTTACTTTTGTAATTTTCATCTCATTTCAAATTACACAATCGACCCTTAGATTTCAATCTGTCAGAAACCGTATATTTTGATATATCTAGTTTCTGATTGAAATATTATTCCTTATTAAATAAAATATAACACATCAATACTATCTTCGGCTCATGTGAGCTCACGTTGAGCTCATGTGACCGGTTGTTCAGTGCAGAAGGACTTATTTTCAATGACTTGTAAGGAAAGATGTCCGACAAAAATTTCGAAATTGCTTTATTACTTAAATTTAATAAGTATATGTGAACAGAATATGTAAATAGAATATAGAGTATTTTCTAAATGAAGTATATATTTGTCATTTTCGATATTTGTAAGACTGAAACCCTAAAATCATGAAATAAAAAAATAAAAAAAATAAATTTAACTTTTAACTTTTCAATTACTTTTTTATTAACTTAACTTTTAATTTAATTACTTTTATTATAAATTAACTTGTATCTTAATTAAGTTAAATTTTCAAGATTGTTTAACTTTAATCCTAACCCTGCTTTTTTCCTCTTTCATCGATTCGAAAATCCTTTTCTAGGATTAAAGTATACGCATTAATATTGGAAAGTGGAGTCTATGCCGAGAATAATCAAAAAAATGTCAAAATTGATTATATTTTTTATCATTTCTTAATGTAACATGACGTCTCAGCTGTCAAATCATCATTTGTTTAATATGAAACCTAGCAAACGAAAATGGATTGAAATTAATTGAAATTGATTCAGATTTTCAGAAATATTCATTCACGAATGTTAAAATGAATGCTTTTCAATTCTGAATGCATTTTTATTCATTTATAGGAATTGCATGGAACATATCTCTATCTGCCTTTCAATCTAAAAATAATATTAGCTTTTTCTGTGCATACAAACACAATTGTAAATACTGTTCAATTCAAAATTTTGAATAAGGAATGCAGTTTTTCAATTCAATTGCATCCAATTGAATCTAACTGAATCCAATTAAATCCAAAAAAAATATTTTGCTATTTAAAATACGCATTCGGATAGAAAAAAATTTCAATCCATTTTAATCCATTCTCGTTTGCTGGGAAGCTTTGCAACTTGTACGTACGAAGTGGTTTCCAGATACATATTGGGTCATCTAAAAAGTATCCACGGTTTTTTGTCACTAGATGTGTGTTGATGGTCATATATCTAGTGACAAAGTACCGCGGATACTTTTTAGATGACCCAATAGTTTACACGAACAAACAACGTTGAGTTCTTAGAATTAGACTTAGACGCTTTATCGCGACGAATTTGTTATACGAAAATTCAGGGTGCGATTACATGGAGCGCGGTACGCGGGACGTGGTACAATAACTAATAGTAACTAACTAGGTAACTGCGGAAACCGCGTATTACGTACCGCCTATTTCTTTCGCTGATATTGGGTCATCTAAAAAGTATTCGCGGTTTTTTGTCACTAGATGTGTGTTGATGGTCATATATCTAGTACAAAGTACTGCGGATACTTTTTACATGACATGGACAATATTACATGGAGCGTGGTTTTCGTACGGTTTGCGGCACGAACTAGTGACAAACTCACATTAGTATGAATTTTTAAAAATATATGAACTTATTTTTATGCACGCTTTATCGATACTCTTATTTTTTTAACAGATTCACTTAATAATTGCATTTAAATTAATTAATTCCATTAAAAAGTGCATAGCAGTGTATAGTAATGTGAGTTTGTTACTAGCTCGTGCCGTAAACTGCGCTCCATGTAATATCAACGAAAAAAATAGGCGGTACATATGCAGTTTCCTAGTTGCCTAGATAGTTACTATTAGTTACTGTACCGAGAATCGCGCACCCGCGCTCCATGTAATCGCACTCTACACGAATGTGCGATTGCGTGTATCATAGGTTACATGTGGTAGTATATTAAGACATGCGATGCGTGGCGCGCGGCGCGACCTCTGGTGACTTCGTCGGAGTTCGACCTTTAGGAAGTTTCCCCTTAACAAAAAAGTTCATTACTTTATGGGACGAAACAAGGTCTATAATAATTGTACTATTTTTTCCATAAGGGTTTTCGACTTTCCACACGAAGCAAGATTCATCTCATCTCTTCCTTCTGCCATGAGACATACGACTTTTTACGCAAAGCAAGGCCTATTCCACCTCGCTCCCTTGCTAGGAGCACATGACTTTCTAAGCATAAGGGAATGGTAATGCAATCTCGCTTCGCGAAAGTCGTGCGCTCTTAAACAGGGGGAGATGGGATGAATCTCAGTTCAAATAAAAAAAATCATTACAAAATCACAAATTTTCTGCTTTAAAAACAAAAATTATATAAAAAAATGTTTTCAAAAAAAATTTTTATTTTTAAATCAAGAAATTATTTTAAAGCAGAGAATTTTTTATTATATAGCAGAATTTTTTGTTAATAACTTTTTAACGAAGGACGAACGCTGAGTAAAAGTTGTTGGAAGTCATTCATAACCTTGACAATATATGTTAAAATCAAGATTATTGGAGGATAGTCCCTATTATTAAATATTTATCAAGATCTCTTTAATACTTCGATAGAATAAGCCATTTTTAATTAAAAATCAGTAGTCAATAAAACAAAACATGTTAGTCGTTACAAGACAAAAGAATTGATCTTATTTTTGTCTTGTCATGATTAACATGTTCTATTTTATCGATTATTGATTAATTATTATTGAAATGATCCGTGTGACTTTATTTCAAATGTTTTTACGAACATGGTTTTTCTATTCGTTGTTAATATGTACTTTTACTTTTATGAATTTCTTATTTATTATAGCGTTTAACGATTAAGTAATTAGCAGTAAAATAGAAATCTTCCTGAATGCGAGAACAAATATCTTTTTTTCCCTTTTTCTTTTCCTAATAAAATTAAATTAATTTTAAACATATGAATGTAGTGAATTCGCTGCGCATAAAGGATATTAAGGAAAACCGAATTTTTATTACTACAAATTGTTAAAACTCAACTATTACTTATTAAGAATAAACTTATAGAGTGGGGAGTAGTCCGCTTACGCGGAGCCTTGCTACCTTATCTCAAGGAAAGCGCGAGTATAGGTTCTACCAAATTTTGAGGAGTGTCGATTGGTTCTGAAAGGACACTTCCACACTCATTTTCAGAATATAAAAGGAGCTGTCAAAGACAGAAACAGTCCTTCTTTTCCTTCTTTTCCTTTTTTCGGTCAATTCAGTCACCCAGCCAGTCAGTCAGTCGGTTATTCAGACAATCAGTCAGTTACTTAGTTACAGTTACAGCTACAGTTACAGTTATACAATCAAGGTGAGAGTTATTCTCGCGCTTCTTCAGAATCTTACTTTTCTTTTTCATTGTTTTACTTATAGCATTTACTTATTTCAATAAACGAAAATATTGAATCGAATCTATTGATGGAATCTCTAAATCTCTAATCGGTTACATACAAGTACATATACATATATGAATATCTGAGGTTGTGCGACTGTCGCTGCCAATAGCGTGGCCCCCATTTATTAACACTTCCTCGGAGAATTCATAATTTTCTCATATTCAGAGAGCTGTTACGACTGTCGCTGCCAATAGCGTGGCCCTCGTTACGACGGTTCTCCGGAACATTATTATTATAATTCTTTTTCTGTATTATCTCCATGCCTACCAAAGGCGGACGAAGACAAAGAGAAAAGAGATTGAGGTTCCAAATTAAATCGGCCCTTATTTCAAATCAAGATTACCCTTCCTCTAAATTATCCGGTACTTCCCAGTGAACCGCATTCTTAACCGCACAACTTAATCTCCGGTCCCCGAGTAAATTGTTTAAATACATTGACTCAAAAACAGAGAAAATCTCAACAACATTAGACGTAACACTAAAAATATTACCTCGGCCAGGAATCGAATCTTGGCATAATTTAATTTGTGATATTACTGCTTTTTAGTTATATTAGAATTGCATTTCAAAACTGAAAATGAAATTCGGCGCGCAGTTTGCAGAATTAGAAATATGTATTATAATATATAAATTCACATGGAATTATTTAAGCAATAAAAATCCTGCTTGACCTTCATTTCCGATTTATTGTAAAATAACATTATCATTACTAATATGGTTTTATTAATTAATCGATGAGAATCTGAACTAGGTTGAAACATATATTTACTTGCTTAATAAATAATGTAATTTACACTTGAATATCCTGTGTTGCTTCATATTGGCATTACTTAATTTGTTAGATTTAATCACTTGAGCTTATTTTATTTATTAATTTGTTTGGTTTCTAAGTTTTCTTCAAAACAGGATAATTATAAGTCTTAGAAATCTTAGAATATTTCAGAAGTTACATACATGCAAAATTCTAGAAAACAATTTAGTAAAGGAAAAATGACCAAGAAATGTTCAACACAAATAAGCGAAGACCATATTCGATCAAAGCGAACTTTGGCATCTAATTTTTTCGTATTAATTGCCAGTTTAAACATTCACACAATAATATTATTAGGCATCAAAATCTTTGGTGTGAATATTTAATATTGATCGAATATACGATGTTTGTGTTCATTTGTGTTGAATTCTAGAAAAGATGTAAATTTTCTCAACATTTCTGAAAAGTGTTACAATTTGTATATAAAAAAATAATTTTCTAAAATGTTATAAAATTATATAGAAATTTTGAAAAATTCTGAAAAATTCTATGAAGAATTCTAAGAAAAATTTTTATCAAGGCATTAGTTAGCATGAAGGCTAAATCTTAAAATCTAGTATATTTTTTTTTTGCAAAAACCTACCGGTAGACTGAGGACAAGGCGGACCCCTGCATGTTTTCATTACAGGAGGTCGTGGTATATCTCTACAAGCATTTCCCGCTGGCTTCTTTGTACCAAACCAGACACATTGTAAAATCCTATATTTGATACCGTCTTCTTCACAAGATGCAGTGCACTGTCAGAATATTACTTTAATGTAAACATTATCATTATCAAAATTTTTAATCGGTCTATTTACCTCAGTCCATTCGCCGACCCTCCAAACACCCTTACAAGCATCATTGTAGCATTCCTGTCTTTGTAGCGGTCTCGTAGCCTCGTCACATTTACTCGTGTCTAACAACGTGACGTTTTCGTGTCCATCCTTAGCATCGTGCACCAGACGACAGCTAATGTCTCGTTTCTGCATTGCTGTTTTCCAATTGAAGCATCTGGACGTTTCACACGGAGTCCATTCCGTGACATGCCATTGAGGGCATTTGCCCATTCCGCAGGGTTTCACCTTCTGCGGTACTGGATATCCGGCGTCCTCACACAATGTCTGACCGATTACCGTTCTTGGCGAAACGTGCGTGAAGTTGCCATCTGTTTTCGTCGATCGAACTGTACACTGTGCACCTCGCATCTATGACAATGAATAATTTGTAATGCAGTTATTTCGAAATTTTTTTTAGTAGAAATATATTTTAATATGAAATTGGATGAAATTTCAAATTCTTTTGACTTTTAAATATTTTCATTAAAATGTCGTGATCTCTTTAATTCTTTTTTCGGATAAATTAACAAATTAATAAAATTATATATAATATGTATTTTAAATGATAGTAAGTAGATAATGTAAATGAATGAATCATGATGAAATAAATGAATGAACAATCATATATCACAAGTAGATGTTTAATCATTCAAATTTTTTTATCGCTTCAAACATTTCTTAGACAATTGCTTAACAATGATAGTAATTAAATCTAAATATTCTTTTTATCGAATTAACTCAAAAGAATTGTAAATTTTCTAATTCAAGCTAATCACAGTTAGAAAAAAATGATCTTACCTGGAATCCACTTCCTCCGCAAGTTTGAGAACACTTCGACCAATCGGTCGTAACCCACTCGAAGACCAGAACATTATCCGCAGCTGCATTATAAGTCCTTCGTTTAATTATTGGACTGCTTAAACATTATCAAGACAATGTAAATTATTAAGTACAATCTTACCTAATACAGCGAGAGATTTTACAGCGGTATTTTTTGTTGTGTCGTCCTCTTCCATTATAGTGGAGGTCAAAATGTTCGCGGGCTTATCTCCATCACGTTGTCCCTCTCTAAATGTCTCTTTTAGATCAATTGAGAAGGCCTTTATGGAGCCAGCATGATCCTCTCGACTATGAGATAAGTTCTTTACGTTCTTATCAGGATTCTCCCTAACAACATCCGACCTCAGATCATCTATCAATGTCGAATCATCTCTCGCTCTATTTTCCAAGTTTTTAGTAGTCTGAAATCGTGCGATTGTATAATCCGCCGTGTGATTTTCCACATACGGCACGATTTTCCGCTTATCCAGCTCTTCCTCGAACGCTTCGCTGTACTCGATTGTCCTGTTCGTATGGTTCAAACTACGATGATCCGACTCCGATATCCTTAATCGATCTTCAGGACTTCTAGACATCATTGTGGAGGTGATATTCGATGGAGCTTCAGTTCTCAAGCTTCCATAAATGTCGTGATTGATGGACTTATCACTATCATCGGTAAAACTGTCTGCTTCCTTGAGCATTTCCTTTTTTGTGCTCGAATCTTCAATGTAATATACGTTCATTTCATCGTTTTGTGAAGATGTGATAGATTCTGTCGTATCTCTGCTTTGAAGGACGTGACTTTTGGGCGTGGTGCTCCAGTGATCTTTATATCCGGTTTTCGACTCTTGCCATTGTCGTTTAACATTTTTTAATGATTCTTCGATATAATCGATGTCAGGCTTTGTAGTAAGCTTGGTATCAACTTTCTCCATTATATCCGATTTAATATTGTCGCCGTGTTGCAGCCCGAATACAGATTCGTCCAAATCGTACGGATCGACATCGATAAATATCCGTTCTTCATCTGGACCGAAGGTCTCATCCGGGATGGCTGTGTTACGATACAAATTGTCAAAGTTATCCTCTACATTTTGATACGTGAAGTCGGCTTCTTTATTAGACATTTTACGCTTTGTTGTCGCCATTCTTTTATGATCGTCCTTGACAAATGATGTAGAAACGGTTCTGCGATTATTACTTCTGGCTATTTCGCTGTGAAACGGCCAATAGGCCTACATAAAGCGTGTTAATATTTAACATTTAATAATGTAACGCTATATGTCGAGTAAATTGTCGAAAATTTAGCTACAATGGCGATACAAGCAGGCAGACGCGTCTTATATAACTCCATCAAGTTTATTTACAAATTAACGTCTTACCTTCAAGCTCGATATCAAGTAGCTTAAGTGCGGCACAAGAGTGGAAGCACTTGATGGAGCAGGTGATTCCACGGACTCGTGATATCCCGGCTGATTGATAGTCAAATATCGAATAACCGACATCGAGGAAAGTTAGTCCAGGAGTGCAAAGCGAAATACAGAACCATCACCAGAAAATTAGTTTGAAATTCATGCACATACCATTTGTTAAGCAATGTCAAGATACGAATTATTGTAGCGGGAGATAATCTTGACAGTAGAATGCTTTTTCGCGTACCTGGTTGAGAGAGGTAACAGTATGCTCTTTATGCATCATCGTGGCATCTGACGGAGTGGGACTGGTCTTTTGCTTCTTTTGATGTGGTTTTCTCGTCGGTTTGCTAGGAAACGCACGTTCATGGCTAAGATCCTCACTATCAAAACGGTTTCCATAAGCTGCTATAAAAAAGAATCAAAGTTGCGTGTGCATGAAATTAAAAATTATTAATAACTTCCATTATTTTTAAAGTCTAGATTTGCAGTATAAGCTTAGAATTAAAAAATTTAATATATTTAATTTCTTTTTAATTCTAAGCTAAAAATAAAGAAGTTATTAAAATTTTATTGTTAATTATATTAGATTTTAAATTTTAAGATTACACAATCTAAGATTTTAAAAATATTAATGACTTACATTATTTTTGAAATCTGCATTTGTGTATAAGCTTAGAATTAAAAAAAAATCTAGTAGATTTAATTTCATTTTCATTCTAAAACTAAAAATAAAAAGTTATAGTCTATAAAGATTTTAAAAATAATGGATGTTATTCATAATTTTTATTTAATAAAGAATTTATTACGGTTTTTAAAATTTGTACAATACATTTTGTAGCCGAAAGATTTTGTTTTTTACTATTATAATCATTTGTAACGGTACTGAATATATAATTGGAACATTTGCGCTAAATTTAATGCATTTCATGTGTTCTAAACGATCAACTCAAATTTTTGTGTTAATTTAACTCAAGATAAATATGTTAGAAAGTAAAAATAATGTCAAAAATATATAACTGATGTAATATTTAACGTGTTGAGTTGTAAATTTTTGAAAGAAATTTTACAGTTTTAAATCAGAATTTTGTTGACTATGCATCGATCTACATAAAAGATGTAATTCTTTTGATATTACTCCAGAATCGATATATACAGCTACTGATCTGGAACGATAAAAAAAATTTTTTCCGTATCTGAGCTTTGTATTATTATATGTTTTTCGAATAACTATTATAATTATATTAAATAGCAGTAAAGAACTTGCAGTAAAGAATTTTATAAAAACAATTGTAAAAGCATTGTTATATCGAAATTTAGGATGTAGTAAAGTAATAAAAAGACATAGATATAGAGTTACATCAATTTATTCTTCGTAATAAATGTATAAGACATAAATATAAAATAAGCAGTGAAAGAAATAAAAGAACTTATTTTTTTCGGGAATAAGAAGAAAAAATTAAAAATGTATAATAGTATTGTATGTATAATAGTATTGTAAATGTATAATAGTATTGTATTGTACCGTTCAAAGTCTGGCACAGCGCAAAGAGGTATATATTCATTTGCTTACTTATATGTATAAACAATTTTGGCGTTATATTACAGTGAATTATGCTTCTGTAATAAAATAATATTATTTACATCAAACTTAAACATAGAAAATTTGTGTCTTTGTAATACTGTGTGATTGCTGGAAATCGTCTATAGTAAGTAAATAGGTTCAAGGCTAATTTTCTCTTCCCCCTTCTCTTCTGCTTCATTACAAAGACAAAAAGTTTTGATATCAATTATTATTTATATGAGATATTATATGAGATACGTAACAAATAAAAATCCAACAAAATTTATTTAAATTATTAAGAAATATATCAGCTTTCAGTTCTCTAGAGCAAATTGTGTAAAAGCAAATTGTGTAACATATTTTTTCAATAAAATTAACATTTATTGTTTGTTATATTAATATGTATTTTATTCATTTACTTTTGATTTATTTTTAAAATATATTAATTTTTTTGTTACTTTTTATTTATTTATAAATTGCGTTATTTTAATATTAAGAAAACATTTGAATATTAATTTAATACAAAATATTCAAATAATAATTATATTATATTAAATTATCACGCGAATATGTTAAACATTTAACACAACAATTTTCACAAGGATCGATTTTAACAGAAATACGAAATGTCTTCTATTGTACAAAAGTGAATAATTTTTTAAATAAAAATATTTACCTGCATGATCAGTGTATGGACTTTCGCCAGAATTTGCTGGTGCAGAATCGAGATTCGCGTTTCGTTGTAGGTGAACGGAATTGCCAAGTCGTAAATATTCCTCGCTACTTATCTGCTCTTTGGAACGAAATTTTACTATCAACTGCGTCTCTGCGTGCGAATTTCCCGCTAAAAAGGATTATTACCGAATTTTTCATAGCAACGTGTCGAAATACGCACAATCTAGATATATCAAGCGAAATCGCTTACCAATACAACCATAGACTCCCGAGTCCGAAGAAACTATATCGATTATTTTCAAAGCTCCCTTTCTGCTGATCTTGTATTTTCTGGATTTTCGTATTTCCTTGTTATCTTTCGTCCATACGATCTGCGCTCTGATAATATTGTATTTGTAGTTATTTTGTCCGATTCATAATTACACAGATTTTGTACTTACTTGTCAAACTTTCGAACGGGACAGCGAATTTTAATAGAAGGTGTCCCTTGAAAAATCTTGGCAATTCCGCCAATCTTTAAATCTACCTTTGCATTGATATCTGTTTGATTGTACGTGGTATTCAGACTCGTGATGGTTGGTGGCATGTTAGAACTTAAGTCTGAGTCGTGGCAGGCTCTGGTATTACAAGGTTTTTCGCTGGCTGGCTTTTGAGCCGGGCATTCGCGTTCCTCGCGACTCTGCTTGCGACCTTGCGCCATTATCTGCTCGCAAACTACGTCTCGCTTCTTCACACCACCACCGCACGTTCTCGAACACTAAAATTATTCATTTAGATTAAAAAAGTTTAGGAATTTTTAAAACGTGCTTCCTAGAGTACTTACAATTACATATATAAATCAAATTATATAGAATATACTGCTGCAATTAGATAATTCAAATTCTAAAATTTCCAACAGATAATTTAAATACATATTTTAGTTTATATTTGAAAATAATTTAATATATACATTTTTTAATTTTATAATTTTATTATATATTTTAATATAGGAAAAGCCTATAGGAAATTTACTATATATTTTAATATAGGAAAGGCCCCTAGGTTATGAGATACCGAGTTCATTTTGAATAAATGAAGTCTATGGGCAAAATTTATAAAAATAGTAGATCATTTTGAAGGGAATTTAATAAGCTTTAAGATAATATTATGTAAAATTTAATTTAAATGCTATTTTTTTTAATTAAAAAAAAATATAAAAAGTGAGCAAATCACAAAGTCAAAAATTGTGTTGCTAATATGAGATGCCCTCTCTAGAAATTGATAATAAAATGCAAAGTATTTCATTGCAGTATTGCAATTAAAAAAATTTATGTAATGTTTCTAAAATACAAACAGACACAGCCAGTGTGCATGAAAAATGCGACGCATTATACCCAGTACTCGTCTTCGGGTAATTGAAAGCAAGCATCGCAGAAATAGATACTCGATGTTTTTCATTCCGATTGTCCTTTTTATTGTATAACATTTATACTTTTTACTAGCAACGATTTTTATTATGACATAGGAGCATAAGTTATTTCATATTAGACGATTATTATATGATTTTCATGCCTTATGATTTTACGATCATTAAATCTTACTTCTGTAATTAAGCAATTCAAAATATCCCATATTTTCAGAACGATCTTGTAGCTCTATCATTACATGATAGAGTTATATAAATTTATTGCCAAATATTTACTTATTAAATAATAAACAAGATTTTAAGGCTTATATCATTGAAATTTGAAGACATCTCTATTGGAAAAAATCACGTCACACAGTTGCATGATGAAATCATGTAATTAAAACATGTAAATCACGTTATGGATTGTTCCAAATCAGCCAGTCAAAAACGCCGTAGATGATTTGGACATGTAAATTAAGACTCTAAAACCAGACATGTAGTTGAGGATTAAACCACTGTAGGTTGTTATTCTCTCTCTTTACCCCCTGCCTCTCCCCCTCTTCCTCATCTACGCACGCACGCACGCATGCACGCACGTAGATATACAGTCTGTTCAATAAGAACGTGATGCTCATTATGTTCAATAAGAACGTGATACTCATTATTCTACAAAGAGTGACCGTAGCGATATCTTCCTGAACTCGTTTGAACCTTTATTTCGTGCTCTTTTGCGCAATATATCCTACCAGCACATTGTGTAGTTTATGTCAGCGAATTTATTATATTTTTACAATGAGTGCCAAATTCTTGAAGCGGTACGAGGCAGTGTTTTTAGTGAATGGAATGGCCGGCAATGTCCCCAAATGCTAATCCCATTGAAAATGTGTGGTCGTACATGAAGATGAAACTCAAAGGAAAGCCAGTGTACACGGTGGAGCAGCTGTCATTTCAAATTAAGAAGATATGGCGATCTTTGCCAAAGAAATATGCAGATAACCTCGTCGAAAGTATGGAAAAAAGGTGTCATGCAATAATCAGTAATGGAGGTGATTGGACAAAATACTAGGGTAGGTAATTGCGCAATAGCTAATAATGTGTACTTCAAAAAAAAAAATAAAAAACTGTATAAATGTTTATAGTTTTTTGATTATGGCAGACACTTTCTTATTGAACAGACTGTACCTACATTTTCAGGTAAATTTGGAAACATCACTAAAGACTTGAACGTGAGACTAACCAACGTGTGTTGGCGTAAATAAAATGAACACAATAATTAAAGCACCCGAAGATGTTTGATCTTATGACTGTACAAAAAATGTAATCTATAAGATTTCTTATAATGATTGCGTCCTATGTCAGACAAACAGGCCGACGCCATGTGGCGAATATATGATATATCTTTGTTTTAACGAATTCATTTAAAATTTGATCCGTAAAATGATCTACGATTTTCACATATATTTTCGTGAAAACGAAAATTTTATATTTGGAATAATTGCGGATTTTTATATTTTGTAGTTAATTTTTAAGTTGTAATTTTGGATCCTTGAGGTGAGTTATCTCAATTTTTCTCGCATAAAATACTATATTTAGTCTATAATTAATTCCATTTCATTGTTTATAATTAAAGAGAAATGGCGATGATTACTGTTATGATCTATCGTTATTAATTTCATTTGACTAACTAACTATGTGATTGAAAACGCTGAGATGACTGGAGTGTTTCTCATACTGAGAATTCTATTTTGGATTTTTAACTGTGCTGAAGACTTGAACGAGAGTCGAAATGTTTACTCGATAAAGAGGTTTTTATACATATAAATCTGCGCAACGTTTACAGTGCTTCACTTTCATTAACCTATTTTTTACATATATCGTTGTTAAATGAAAATTTCACAATACTCGCATAATTTCCTTAAAATGATTAAATTTTTTTATGATCTTTTTTTTTATAAAGATATATAAGAAATTTTTGCCTCTTTACATCAAGTAGAGTAAATTCTCTCATGTTCTTTTTGTACGAATAAGGGAAATAGTTTATATCACTATTCTACTCCGAGTTAGTGTGTAACAAAGAGCTTTTTCCTCGAGATTGTTGAAGCTTTATACAAACATGTACAAATATATACCTTCCCCCATTCCCCTGTGCTCCATTTGACAGGACAATCCAGTACATTGCAGTATCGTCTATCGGCGGGCGGTGGTTGCGGACACATGTAATTTGGAACGGTCACTGCTCTGTTGGTGCCGGGTGTCACCTCGTGGATACAAGCAACGTCACGTGTCTGTATACCAATACCGCAAGGGCTCATGCAAGTGGAGAATTCGCTATAATTCCACCTGTGGGCGTAGATGATCACACGTTTGTCAGAAAAGATCGCACAGAGAATTGCGTCGTAATATTAATTAAACCTTCTCAAATTGCATACAATTCGCAAAATTAACGCAAATTAAACGGTAAGGCATATTATACTAAAAAAATCATTCAAGTATTTTTTAAATATAATTATTGTATTAGGTGTTGGAATTAATTCGTAGCGTTTTACAAGTGATGGGAAGTACTTTCATTAATGTATTTTTTAATGCTCATGTGAAATAAATAACATTCTTTCATTAAAAAACGCTACGAATTAATTCCAACACCTAATATAAATATATAAAACTTGAAAATAAGAAAATAAAATAATAGATTAAGAGGCGAATCAATAAACAATTTCATCAATTTATAAAATAAAATGATCAAATTTTCCATATCCTTATTTGTAGAGCATTACTGCTCGCATTGAATAAAATTTGTAAACATACAATTTGTAAACACAGTGAGTACAAAAAGTATTCGTACAGAGAAAAAATTTTTGAAAAAAACTTTATTTTTAAAAATTAAATATTATCCAGAGAGAAATGAGTCATCGAATTGATGTCAAGAAAATATATTATCTAAAAAATAAGCGAAAATTAAAAATTCCATTATTTGAATGCTCAAAAAGTATTTGTACAGTCGAAGAATTTATAATATCAGGAATACATGCGAAGCTCATTTGTATATGTTAGAACAGAATGTATTCATTGTATAAAATTAATGTTTATTTTCTACAAATAAGACTTTTTTTATAAAAAATTTCCTTGTACGAATACTTTTTGCTCTTGTATATAGTAACATACAAATTGGTGTTATGTGTCGTTATTTTGATATCAAAATAACATTATATGAAGATGTCACTTTAACATCAAAATGACGACAAATGATGTTCAGTTTGCGCGCGCGCTACATAGATAGTATATTTAAATTCTGGAGTTACTGGAGTCTTTTTGGTATTTATTAGGTGTTGGAATTAATTCGTAGCGTTTTTAATGAAAGAATGTTATTTATTTCACATGAGCATTAAAAAATACATTAATGAAAGTACTTCCCATCACTTGTAAAACGCTACGAATTAATTCCAACACCTAATAATAAGATGTATGACTATTTATTATTTATTAATTACATCTTATTAAATATTAAAAAGACTAAAAAATCTGTACCAAAAAATTTTCATTGATTGCTGAACTCGAGACTGCTTTAATGTCTACTTGGAAAAATGTATTCATGGAAAGATCACCATTTCTGAAGCACTTTAAAACTAATATCAAAGCTGAAGATAGCTATTTTGATTATTTATTATTTTTATCTATTTAATAAGATGTAAGTAACAACCCAGAATTTGTTTTCAATGAATATACTTACTGATAATTTGATAAATTAAAACACACACAAAATTTTCAAACTTATTTGACGCCTCATATTTTTTTTATTAGCTATAAGAAGCAATCCCAAGGTATTTAACAATTAAACAAATTAAACATTATTATGTAACATGAAGTTACATAATATTCTAATATTTAGGCATTAAACTAATCGATATCGCAGAATTATAATATAATTTACCTTGGAGGACATGGATGATCATTACAGACTCGTATCCTCGCCTCTGGCTTCGTTTCCGCGGAGCATAAAAGCGGCATCACCGTTTTCCCGGTATCGTCCCGCACACAATTTATAATAAGATCTTGAACACCTAGAACGAAATAGAAGCATATGTAAAATTGGTGTGTGCGATTCGTCATAAACGATAGATAATCCGCCCGGAGCATACGCTCTTGTCCCTTTGTATTGCGTTAGTCGACACAGAGTAATCTTAATACGATTATACCTCAACGCTGTTAATTGCACAATGACATCAGCACGATTTTGCCGGGCTAATTAAGGGCTATGTCGACGAGTTAAATTCATTTCGCTAATCCTATTCAATAAACGATTAATATCGACTTTGCACAGACTACACAATGCTCTTCTATCTCGTTTACAAATATCTATCTTCTATCGCGTAGAAAATTAGAAAGAATAAATAATCAGGAGTTATTAAATCGTTTTACTTGTTCAAGGATACTAAAAGATACGCCTGTAAATAAAATGTGTGGAAAGTGCATTTTTACTAATATAATAAATATTATATATAATAAATATAATAAAATATTTATAATATAGCAAATTATAATTGAGTCTATTTGAGTTTATTTAAGGAGAATGGACGGAATAGAAAAAAGGCACTATTTTACTTGGACAATTTTACTTTTTCCGGAAATTAGCTTCTTTATATGTATAATATTGAGCGTAATAGAGAAGTATTGTAACATGTAATTTCTTAAAGATATTACATAAATTCATTTGATATTGTATCCATTTGTGTACAATATAATAAAAAGTAGCACACAAGTTATTTTAATTTTTATTAAAATCAAGATTTTGAAATTAGTAGAGTCCGACTGAAACTTTCATTGAAACTGAAAATGAACACTCATTAGTGTCAGTTTCGACTAAAACTATAGCTTTTCTTCATAAATATTAATTTTAACATGTGTAATCATTGTTTCAATAATTAATGTTTATGAAGAAGTACTTATATTCTTTGGCCAAAACTGATACAATCGAAATTTTGGTTTCCAATTTTGGCCAAAATTTAATTATTGTTTTGAATAAATTATGAAAAAAAAAATAAGATATGTGGGCATGTATATACATATGACCTTTATAAGATTCGATTTTTTAATTTTGGTTTTAGTTTCGGTTGATATTGACATATAGCCAAGTGTTTCGGTTCAGTTTCGACAAAAGTTTCGGTCGGACTCTAATAATTAGGTCCGACCTTATTCCATTCATTCCCTTAAATAAATTCTAAATTTCTTAGAGTGAGATTTCATTCTAAGAAATGTAGAGAGAAGTATAATAAAATATATTAAATAAAAATACATTTTTGACAAAAAAGTTACATACAGATCTAGCCGTTGGGATTATTTTCTCGATAACGATGATAGATATGGTTTCGATGCATAAAATCTTTCTCGTAGGTCTTGTCAAGAGAAAATAGTCTTGTGGCATTATTCCGATGATATCTATCATCCGTTTCCGAAATAATGGTCCTTTTATTTATACACATGTTCATATTTTTTTTTATCAAAGAATGTATACAGTAACTCCGGCAAATATGCCGCACTAGGATTTACGCAGAGTCGGAAAAAATAGAAGGAATGAGGGTAATTTTCCCGTAATTACTCTGTTATACCTTTATGTTATATTAATATTGTATTATGATTTCAGTTTCTTACTGTTAATTCTTATCGTACAAGATACAATTTGGTGCCTTATTCATACAAACGTGAGGCACTAGATCCGTTCGTTTTTTTTTATCTATTCAGAACGATTAAAAAAAAATCTCTAAAAATTTAACAACATGCTTTCAACTTTTTAAAATAAATTTTTATTGGAACTTCTTTATTTTGGAATTATTTTGGAAATAATAAAATGTTGTATAATTTATAATTATCAAAACACTCAAAGAAATTTGAGCTCGAACAGGAATCGTTCGGTCACTAGCGACCCATACTTGTAAGAGAGTTAATATTAATGAAATTATTGTGAGTTGAATTGATTTGTCACTGTGTTAAGTAGCGCCATCATAAATTATAATCTGCATAAAATAATTACTATAGGACGTGCAAAAGACTTAGTGATTATTTCGTGATAAATGAGTGTAGAGGAACAGTAAAGCATGTTGTATAACAAAATAAAAGTATTTTGTTCTTCTATTCTTTGGTTAGTTTGTTATTTTATAAATATCCCACCTGTTTGGGATATATAGCATTTTTAGCGGACGGAATTTACAAAGCCGAAAGCATACAAAGTGCGCAGATTGAATTCAGTGCACTAAATGCAATAAACGCATTACCTGAAATACCTCATGTCATAACATTTGTAATACATGTAAGATTGAATTATTATTTAGATTGTAATTATTTATTATTTCATATACATATTTATTATTCTTATTATTTAATAAAACATATAAACATATTTTATAAATTATTGTGTCATTTTACGTCTTATTTATATGCAATATTTGTAAATTTTTTATGAGCTGTACATATCTCTTCCCTTCCGCTTATGAGTAGCCATATATTCCACACCTATGGGATATATATGCAAGGGTTTAAAAAAGTTTATTTTTTAATACGAAATATAAATATTTCGGATTTCTAATATTTTTTTCATAATAGTAGACAGTACAAAGTTTTTGATATAGTTCGTTTATTTTAAATATAATAAATAATACTTACTAAATTAAATTTTTGATAAGTGCGGTATATATATTGAAGTTACCCTATTTCTTCATTAATAAAAATATAGCGATTCTTTGAATTTGTATCAAAAAAACTTGATATGGAATAAGTGAAATCTTGATATATGACATTAAATTCTATTCGGGGGTAATAAAAATTCACAAATATTTTCATCTCACACAATAGATACGTCATAGGGTAATGCAATCCTAAAGATATATTTGGGATATGTGATATCTTATTCTTTTTTCCTATGATGTATTTCGGATATTTCTGCTGTATGGGACACAATAATATTCTTTACTATACATACGATGAGTCGTTTGTGTCTCGGATTAATCTTTTTTATTACTTTTACTATTGATAAGTAAACAAAAATTATTAAGTGATTCTACATATTCATTAATAAAAGTATTTATAAAATAGTGTATTAAAAAAAAAGGAAAAGAAGAGACTGCTAAATGTTTCTAGTATAATTTAGTGAAATGTTTCTAGTATTTCAAAGAAATAAGATGTATAAGACATGAATGATTTAATCATTTATATCAAGAGCTAATTTAATTAAAATTTAATTAAAATTTAATTTGATTTCTCGAAATATTTGTTCATTGGCATGATGCAAACTTGAATGGAAATTGTTCATCATTTAAAATCCATATATATGACAAAGTTGAGAACTTGAAACCTCGTGGATTTCCCGAGTAATAGAGCTCGGCCTCTTATCCGTTCGGGTCATATTATCAAAAGCAATTTTGGCGAACAATAGTTGTCCGAACCGTTACCTCCTAAGCATGTCGCGCTGCAGGGAGTATAGCCAGTTTCCTTCCATGAGTACGTAGTTTGCACGTCGCTACCCGGGGCGACCTTGATACTGCTGTCGTATCCGCTTCCGCCGGAACTACCGGACGATGATCTACTATACGAATCCGTTAGGCTCGATTCGGCGTATCCGCTATCGCCAACTGTGTCGATCCTGTAGGACAAGCTGTTTTCCAGCAAACCGCACGGTTCCATCGTACACTTCTCCGTTTCAACGGGCTTCGGGCCGGAGCACTGACTGTCCGGTAGTTTAGCGATGGTTTGGCTGAACTCGAGGAATATCTTGCAACGCACCTCTCTGTGCCTGACACCCTCGCCGCAGGTGACACTGCAGGGAGACCATTCCTCGGCGATGAACCTGAGAACCCAAGTTCCACGATTGATACATTCCCGAATTCGCGTAGGTATAACTTATAAGATAATGCGATAAGAGAACGTGAGCTTAATTGGAAACTATGATAACTAGAATTTTGGATCGTGAAAAGATGAAAAATGCATTGGACGCCTAAAATTTGATCATTTATTTTCCATATGAATACTTAAGAGAAATTTAAAGCATATAAATTATTCTTTATATATATATATATATAATCGCCAAATATTTCATGAGCAGATAGAGAGGATTAAACTGAGTCGAAAAGTCCTCTACCATTTTGCAATTTTCGCAATAGTTAACAAGATTAATTAAAAATTGCTAAATATTGGTCTTGAATAATTTTTTACTCAAATACTCAATCAACTTTACAGAAAAACTGCAGGAAACAAAAATCATTTATTTTCTTCTCATAAAGTTCTGAGAATTTTTCAGAATTTTTTCAGAATTTTTTAATACCGTATTTTCTTATGTTCGTAAAAAAAAATGCAGTACTAAAAAGTTGATAAAAAATTCTGAAAAAATTCTTAGAACTATATAAAGAGAATTTTTTCAGAATTTTTTAATACCGTATTTTCTTATGTTCGTAAAAAAAAATGCAGTACTAAAAAGTTGATAAAAAATTCTGAAAAAATTCTTAGAACTATATAAAGAAAATGATTTTTGTCTCTTGCAGCTTTTCTATAAAGTTGATTGAGTATTTGAGTAAAAAATTATTCAAGACCAATATTTGGCAATTTTTAATAATTAATATCTTGTTAATTATTGTGAAAATTGCAAAATGAGGACTTTTCGACTCAGTTTAGTCCTCTCTACCTGACCATGAAATATTTGGCGATTATTTCCAGATACCCTGCATATATACAACTAAAACACTTTAATCTCTTTCTATTAAAACGAAGTATCTCCAGTCTGTAAACGTTAAATTGTGATTTAAATTTAACGTAAATTTTATAAAATCGCAAATGCGTATATATAATAATGATATTTATCAATAATTAAAATTTTTTATTAAATACAAAAATTTATGACTGTACTTATAAATGTGTATATACATTTTATTATCAAATTTAATATATATATTCATATATTAAAAATAGTGAAATAATTATGATTAACCATAATTGTCACAGATAACAATTAGATTAAATATAATACTAGATATACATATATTTATATTTTTTATATATTTTTAAATATAATAAAGTTTATTTTGATATCATGTAGGATATTAAAATTTAATTAATGACGTTCCGTCATTATATTCAACGTTTCTATTTATTTGAAAAATATTTCTCATTAAAATAGATATTGGCGTTTGTTATTTTTGTACATAATATGCATTTATTATTTATTTGTACTATAAATTATTATAAATTATAAAATTTACAATAATTTAAAATAAATTTCACACTATAAAGAGAAATATATATACAAATTTTTTAAAATATAAAATGAATTTTCAATGCAGCTAAATATAATTTTGTTTACAATTTATGATAAAAACAGAAAAAAATAATAAATTAAACTTCTTAGATTTATATTTAATAAAGACAACAATAAAATAATTTTTAATCTTTTTCACAAGAACATTTTCCAGGAAGGTATTTACATTACAATTTTCACAAAACAAACAACACACTATCACATATTATAAGCTAAAAGAGAAATTATCATTGGTGTGATTGACAAAATAATTAAATTAATACATCCGAGTTTTCACAATGAAAACATAAAAAATACAATCAATTCATTATTAAACAATAATTATTCATTGAAATTTATAATCTCTATAATAAGAAATAAACTAAAACACCATACTTACGCAAACAAAAATTCTAATGAAAATAAATCATCAAAAGATAATAAAATTTTTACAATTCCATACGTAAAAAACATATTAAACAATTTGCAACAAATTGAATGATATGCGTTTTGCGGGTTTCCTCCGTGTCCAGATCCATTCTTGGAATGCCAACATTTCGTGAACCTTGCAGTCCATTTCATTAGGGCGAGGAACAGCTTGATACTATCATTTATACATTCGATTTTGTAAACATTATTTTTCGACATTTTTTGTAAATAATCCTTCCCGGTTTTGATAAATTTATTTAATTTATACGGTATTGTATATGTACATATATGCAATTTGATAATTAATCTTTTTCACAATATCATTCAATTTGATAATATTCTTGATGCTTCCACGGGTGCTTTCTATATAAAGATTATGCGAATTTCCTCCGAGTCCAGATCCATTGGAATGCCAACGTTTCGGGAATCTTACAGTCCGAAAGTATAGAAAAGCCATAGAGATACAAAAACACCCTAACAATCTAAATAGAGATAATGGCTACAACATAAATAAAATATGGAAAATTATTCTCCCGGTTATTGAAGACTGACCAATTTCCCTCACCTCTCCCCCCCCCCCCCCCACCATCCAATTCTCTTCTTTTGTCCCATCACTCCAACAAGTAGCATAATATAAAAGGAACAACCCGAAGAAACAGCTCAGTATCAGACTGCTCCTCGCCTTGATGAAATGGACTGCAAGGTTCATAAAACGTTGGCATTCCAAGAATGGATCTAAACACGGAGGAAACTCGCGAAACGCATAATCTTGATATAGAAAGGAGCCTCAAGAATATTATTAAATTGAATGATCAATTATCAAATTGCATATACGTACAATACTTATAGTATACATATAGTATAAATTAAATAAATTTATCAAAAGGGAAGGATTATTTACATAAAATGTCGAGAAATGATGTTTACAAAATCGAATGTACAAATTGTAATGTTACATATGTAGGACAAACGAAGAGGCAGCTAAAAATACGAATCATAGAAGAGATATAAAAAAAATTAGTGGTTATTCCTCAGTTATATATGAATATAGATTATCTAACATAATTTCGATTGAGAAAATGTCAGAATTTTAGACAATGAAGCTTCATATTTTGGTAGAGCTGTGTCTGAGATAATATATATAAAAAAGTAAGCTAACAGTATAAACAAATAAAGTGACGAAATTATTATCTGATACATATTCTTCGGTATCGGGTCGCCTTTCCCCCACTTAAGTATATATTTTCAATGATGTGTAATCTCATAACTAAAGAGTAATGTTACTGAATATTATTGTGTTATAAAACGTTGACCAAGAACGTTACAATTTAAAATAAAAAATCAAACAGACGTAACATTGTGCAATTAAAAATCCTAATAACGACCACTAATAGAGCAAAAGAAATAGATGTATAATAAATTAATAATTTGACATATATTTAAATATAAGACATCGTAAATGTTTTGACTCACAGAATTTTCCTCAATACAATATAAATTTAAACTTACTTACAATCTAATTAAAATTTCTTACATTAACAGAACAGTGTAAAATGATAATAAGTGTTCCTGAATAGAATCAGTCATCCGTCCTCATAAAAAGTTCTTCGTAATTTTCAAAATATTTGTCATACTATGCCCACCGAATAGATCAGTTTTGTTAAGAGTGATCAAAACTAAATTCTCGTTTAATAGCGAGAATCGTGTCATTTGTGTGTAATGTTTGTAATATACAGGGTCCGGCAAAATGATCTCCTACATTTTAATCTTTAATAAAAACGCCATTGTAAATGCTATTTAGATTTTATTTTTATTAACTGAAAATTTATGCTATGCCAATTCGTCAATGGTTCGGGGGTGGCGTTGAAAAATCTTCGTTTTCAGGTAGCCCCAAAGGAAAAAGTCGCATGGGGCAAGATCGGGTGACCAAAACTTAGAGAACTTGAACATTCGGATGTGTGGTTTCAACAGGATGGAGCTACGGCTCATACGGCAAGAAGGACAATGGTTTTAAGGGAAATGTTTCCAGGACGCGAAATCTCGTTACGTGGAGACGTTGGGTGGCCTGCGCGTTCATCCGATCTTGCCCCATGCGACTTTTTCCTTTGGGGCTACCTGAAAGCGAAGGTTTTTCAACACCACCCCCGAACCATTGACGAATTGAAAGCAGCAATACGCCAAGAAATTATAGGAATATCGCCTCAAATTATTGCTCGAGTGATGAAAACTTTTAGAAATCAGCTTCGAATGTGTATCGAAAAAAATGGTCACCATTTGGACTCTGTAATTTTCAAAACTCAATAAAAACAAATGGCGTAGCATAAATTTTCAGTTAATAAAAATAAAATCTAAATAGCATTTACAATGGCGTTTTTATTAAAGATTAAAATGTGGGAGATCATTTTGCCGGACCCTGTATTATAAAAATAAATATTGTAACATAGTGATCTAAATACAATAAAGATAATAAAAAAATTATAATAAATTCGGCAAATAGGGAATTAGCGCTGTAATGCGCAATCAATTTCAATATTATTATATTGTATGTATCCTAATTTAATTATTAATTTGTAATATACATATTTCAGCTAATTTTATAGCCATCCTTAGTACGTACAGATAATTCCATGTGGAAACGTAAGCTTTGAAATTAATATGAAATTTATATGAACTTAAGCTACGGTTCTCACATAATTTTCCTTTTTAATATCCAATGTTTCCATGAGAGGTCAATCTTCACTTCTTTGAGAAAACGCAACCAGCTAGATGGAGCTAGTCAACTGGTTTTTTCTTAATGCTTATTAGGATTAAGATAATATGTTATAATTTTGTTTTTAAGATAAAGGTTATGACTATCAAAATTGACTATATAATGCGGAGTTTACAACAAAAGTTAGATGGTTGTGAGGTCTTAAATTTTAGGTAATTGATCAATCAATAGTCGATTATTCTTCTCATATTTGACTGTGATCGGTTAATTTCTTAAGGTAATACACTCGCGACAATACCAATCCAAAAGTTAGGTCCCATCACGTGCTCGGTGACCGATACTCCCACTCTCGCCTGTGAGAGAAAACTTTTGATTCTGCCTGTTCACAATCGCGCAGACGTAGATTAATAGCGCGCAAATG